GTGGCTTTTTCCCTATTTTTTGGCCGAGAACGACTCTAACGCTAGTGTCCGATACGTCACACATAAGTTCAAAGGGATGATTCCAATCTGGCGGCTTAACAATTGGAGCTGAAATAAGCTTTTCCTTTAATGAATCGAAAGATTCTTTGCATTTTGAATTAAAGTCAAAGTCTTGATCCTTTTGAAGTAGATTGCATAAAGGTTGTGCTATCTTCGAAAAGTCCTTAATAAACCTGCAGTAAAATCCTGTATGGCCAAGAAAAGAACGAATTTCCCTCACAGTTGTGGGGTAAGGAAGTGAGCGTATAACATATGTTTTAGCTTTATCAACCGCAATCCCTTTTGAGGAAACAATATGACATAAAATTAACCCTTTATTAATCATAAAATGACATTTTTCATAATTCAAAACAAGATTATATTCTAAGCATCTTTTAAGCACATTAATTAAATTATTAAGACATTCATTAAAAGAGTTACCATAAACCATGAAGTCATCCATAAAGACTTCGATGCCCTTCTCCACATAGTCGGAAAATATACTTAACATGCATCTTTAGAAGGTGGTTGGTGCGTTACAAAGACCAAATGGCATTTATCTATATGCAAATGTATCAAAGGGACAAGTAAAAGTCATTTTTTCTTGATCCTCTGGCGCCACTGGGATTTGGAAAAAACTTGAAAAACCATCAAGACAATAATAATGAGTTTTCCCGGCTAATCTTTCAATCATTTGATCTATAAAAAGAAGAGGAAAATGATATTTTCGAGTAAGAGAGTTCAACTTCCTGTAATCAATACAAACTCGCCATCCATTTTGAACTCTTGTTGGCACTAACTCCCCTTCTTGATTTTCGACCACTGTGACTCCCGTTTTCTTGGGAACCACATGAATCGGACTTACCCAATTACTATCCGAAATTGGATAGATTACGTCAGCGTCAAGGAGTTTCTGAATTTCTTTCTTTACTACTTCCATCATCAATGGATTTAATCGACGTTGTCTTTCACGTGATGGCTTTGCTCCTTCTTCGACTTTGATTTATGCATGCAAGTCGAGGGACTTAATCCTTTAATGTCGGCAATGGTCCATCCTATGGCTTCTTTGTGAGAGCGCAATATCGCTACCAAAGCTTCCTCTTATCCTTTGGATAATTTACTTGAGATGATCACTGGTAAAGTTTCATTTTCGCCCAAAAAGACATATTTCAAATGCTCTGGTAATTGCTTCAATTCTACCTCAGGTTCCTACAAAACAGAAGGTAAAATTTTAGTTTTAGAGGAATATAAAGATAAATCAGAATTGATTGAATTAATATTTTCAAACTCCCTTTCTTCATCTTCGTGGCAAAGTTCAGGATCCTTAAAAAGATCATAAGAAAAATTAGATTCAATATATTCATCAATTAAATGATCTATAATATCAACAAATTAACTCTTTCAACATGATCAGGGCATTTCATTGCTTTGTAAACATCAAATTCAATGATCTCACCATCAAATTCCATTGTTAGTATACCACTTCTAACATCGGTCTTTGTATGTGCTGTGCTTAGGAAGGGTCAGCCTAAGAGTACCTCGGAATAAGAATTCGACCTATCATGTTCCATGTCAATGACATAGAAATCTACAGGAAAGAATAATACATCGACCTTTACCAAGACGTTTTCCATTACTCCCACTGGATAGATCACAGATCGATCAACCAACTGTATGGTTATTCATGTTTCCTTCAAAGGCTCATTAGTAATAATTTTATATATAGAAAATGAATAACATTAATTGAAGCTCCTAAGTCACATATTGCACGTTTAATTTTGAAATTACCTATTTTGCAAGGTATACCGAACATACCTTGATCCTTCATCTTTGGTGGGAGTTTTCGTTGAAAAATTGCAAAAACATTTTCTCCAAAATTTACCTTTTCGTGTCCCATTAATTTCCTCTTTGTAATGCAAAGTTCTTTTAAAAATCGAGCATACCTTGGTACTTGTCGAATTACTTCAAGAAGAGGTATGTTGACTTGAACTTTTTGGAAAACCTCTAAGATCTCCCTTTCTTCAACTCTTTTATGACGCTTCATCAACCTTGATGGGAAGGGTAGTGGCGTGATTTCATGAGATGAAAGAGAAGGATGTGAGTCAGACGTACCTTGTATTTCTGGAGGTGGCGTTTCCTCTTGTTCTTCCTGATGTGCGTCTTTTTCTGCTGGAACTTCGGGTGAGATTACTTTTCCACTTCTGAGTATGATGGCACTAACATTCTCTCTCGGATTTAACTCCGTTTGAGAATGTAGTTTTCCTTGTGATTCCAATTTTCCCATAGTTTGAGCTAGTCGGCTTACTTGATTATCTAACTCTTGAAGATGTTTCGGTTCAGTTTTGGAATTTTTCTTGGGATGCAATGAACTTTTCTTGTGAAATTGCTAACTTTCCTATGAGTTCCTCCAATGATGAGTTTTGTGTTTGTTGTTGAGGAGGAGGCCTTTATTGATAAGTTGGTCTCTAATTTACCTCATAGCTAAAGTTTGGGTGGTCTCGCCATCCTGGATTGTAAGTATTGTTGTATGGGTTGTATTGTCTTTGTGGAGGACCTGGAAAGTTCCCTACTGCATTGATTTCTGCATTGCCTCTTTCTTGTATCAGCGGGCATCAATCCGTCGGATGGTCTAGCTTTGTGCATATCCCACATGCTCTTGTTGCTCCAGATTTTCCTGCAACAAGTGAATTAACTACTTCAGTTAATTTATCTAAATTATTTTCAATGGAAAATGTACTTATCTCCTGAACCCGTCGGCTGGGTTCACTCAAAAACTGTTGAGAGTTGGTTGCCATGGTTGAAATCAATTCCCTTGTTGTTGTTGGGGTCATGTTAACTAATGCTCCTCCACTGGCGGCATCCACCATTTTCATCTCCATTGGTAAAATACCTTAATAAAAGTATTGAAGTAACGTTTGCTCACTTAATCTGTGTTGCGGACAACGTGCACAAAGCTTTTTAAATCGCTCCCAATAGTCATAAAGACTTTCTTCGCTCTTTTACTGAATGGAAAGAATGCTCATTCGCAACTCGCTTGCTTTAGCCGCTGGAAATAACCTGTCAAGAAAAATTCGATTCATATCAGCCCATGAATTAACTGAATTTGGAGGTAAATAAAATAACCAATCTTTAGTCAAGTCAAATAAAGAGAAAGGGAAAGCTCTTAATTTAATTTGATCCTCGGTAACTCCCTGTGGTTTCATGCTAGTGCAAACCATGTGGAATTCCAACAAGTGTTTGTACGGATCTTCAGTGGGAAAGTCGTGGAAAGTGGGAAGAAGATGAATGAGTCATGTCTTTAATTGAAACGGAGTCCCGCCACTAGGAAAATTAATGCATAATGGCGTCTGAGTGACATAAGTTGTGGCTAGCTCTCGGATCGTTTGTTCTTCTTCTGCCATCGGGATGTTGTATGCATCTGTTTCAGAGTCTGTCTTTGGAATTGATTCTGTTTCTGAACTTTGCTCTTGTTCTTCTTGTTTTTTTCTCTTTTCTCGAAGCGTTTGTGTGTGGATTCTTCGTGCTCGTGCTTCGATATCTGGATCTAGATCTACTAATTCTCCTGGGTTACTTCTGGTCATAAATAAAAAAACTAGAAAAATAAATCGGTACTTGCCGTTAGTCCCCGATAACGGTGCCAATTTGATAATCGTCGTTTTGCTATCAAAATAATTCTTGACTTCTTAATAAATAAAAATGAAAATATAGTATAGAGAAGCAGAGTCGATCCACATGGACTGTGGTGTTTATGATTTAATAAAACTCTTTCTTGATTTTAGAAAAAGATAGAATTCTAGATGAAGTTGAAAAGATATATTAAAATAAAATAAATATAAAAAAAGAAAAATAATATAATAATAAATATTAATAGTAATAAATATAAAATGGGTATTTTTTTAAAAGTTATAGTTAAAATAAAAAAAGAATTAAATAAAAGAAAAAAATAATTAAATAAACAAATTAAAGAGATTAAGATAAAAAGAAACTTATTGTTAAAGCAGCCTCATACTTCAGCTTCGCCTCAAATTCCTCGGATCATCGAAACAAATTTTTACTTCTAGATTCACGTAAGCTTACAATAACAATTTTTCGCTGCCAACTCGGATTGTTTCGTTTCAACAACAACTGATTCCGATCTCAGTTTCCTCTTAGCAAACAATTTTGCTAAGTGTGTTCTCGGGAAGTTGAATATACTTCAATAAGCAAATCCTTCTTCAAACATTAACCATAATAATATTCAGACCAATGTCGAAATAGTTTTGATTTGAAAAGTAAGCTTCAGAAAACAAAGAGAAAATCCGAAGCGATTTAAGTACCTTACAATTCTCACGTTTGGAATTGAGCCTTCGCTTTAGTCTTCGGCTTGAAAGAAAATTAGCTAAGCATAACCAAAGTCATACTTAGCATAATGGAAAAGTATGCGAAAAATAGAGAGAAAGCTAAAGAGAAAAAGAAAATTTTATTCTCAAATGAGAGATATATATTTCTAGGCTCACCCTTAGAGGGTATTTACAACCTTCAAAATCCTAAAAACAAGTTAAAACATCTTAAATCCTAATTAAAACACTTAAAACTATTTAAACTAAAATACCTAAAAAAATAATATAATATTCTAAATCCTAATTAAAATACTAAAACATATTTAAACTAAAATACAAAAATAAAGATAAAATATAAAAATAATATCCTAAAATTTAATTAAAATACTAAAAACCTATTTAAACTAAAATACAAAGATAAAATATAATGTTTAAAATATTATCCTAAATTTGAGTTTAATCAAAATCTGAATTCCAGCCAATTTTGATTCCGAAAATAAAAAATCTACAGAATTGTGTCATTTTTGTGTAATTTCCATAATCTTACGTCCTGTACAGAAAATGAATTAAAATGAACAAATAAGCAAAAAAAAAATCAATGATTAAAGAGTAATTTAAAAGTAAAATATTAACTAAATTAAGCACTTATCACGAACGCTTCGGATTCGGATCACTTTCGCCATACCCAGCTCGATCATATAGCAGAAAATATATTACCAATTCTTCTATTAGTTCCTGGAAACCTGACCAACTTCGAAGTTAATTTCACGGATTTAGGCAAAAGATGGCATAACAATCATCAACTGTGATCAAGTCTGTTTGTACGGCTAGACAAGCAACATCTCCAACTCCAGGCCAGTTACATCAAATACTTGATAAATTTTATAAGTTTTATAAGAAAAGATCAAAATTCGATCATTTTCATGTTCGACACATATTCATACATGCATATGGGAGTATGGTCCTCCAAGTATATGAAAAATGTTAAAAAGATCTCCATATCCACCACTCACCCGAGCCTCGGTAACATACGAGAATAAATTAGAACTTATAAAATTTTAGAAGGAATTAATTTATAAAATTTAAAGAGATAAAGATAGATGATCAATAAAAAAATATAAAATAAATAATTAAATTATATGAGAATTTGTTTATCCCGGTAACATATATCATACTGATTGCGAATAAATATTCTTAGCAGTTCTTAATTATCATAAGATTCAAAAAAGGAAGTGTAAGATTTTAGAAGAAGGTTAAAAACGAGTACTTGGGGAACTTGAAACTTCATGTCTTTGGAGCTTCCAAAGCCATGAACAATGATGATCCTGCAGTTTGATTCGGCCTTGGGCACACCTCTCTCTGTGTAAGCTATATGTCTGCCGTCACTGAGTTTGACTCTTGGTAATACAACTGGTGGACCCTCCGGCGAACCATCCGTATTCTCCTGAAGCCAAAAAAAAACCGTGAGCAATTTAGACTGTTTTTGAATTAAAAAACGCTAGATCTATCAAACGTAGTTTAAAGAATCAGCTTACTCACCATTCAAAATCCTGGTAAAAAGGGGAGAAATGCTGCGCTTGATTTGCAGATGCCTCTTTTCAAGGAATCGGTTAACACAGATAGAAGAGTAGTGAAAAAGATATATTGTTGATTTGTTCTCCTTTTAAGCAGCTGCCATGAGTTTACTTTTGGCGCAGTGATTTCATCTTTGGTATGGATATTCCTCAAATCAGAAAAATAAAGAGGTTGGAAAATGGAAAATAGAGTGATTTAGTGAGTAATTGCAATTAAACACTCAACCTGGAAGAATCTCTGAAAGAGAATATAATGATTCCTTGAGAATATAATGCTGCACCGGCTCTTCACTAATTCGAAACGGCAGATGAAAAACAAACCCTGAGGCTCTGGTATTTAAGTAACTTATAATAGGGTAAACTACAAAGTTCATCACTCAATTTTCTTCTCACTCCTATTAAGATCACTAAAATTTTGAGAGAAAAATTAATCATTCAATTTTTGAATTACTCTTATTTTTATTTCTCAAGGATAACATGACTTATTTTATTAATATTACGCAATGACATGATATATTCTATTAATATTTTCTTATGACATGATATATCTTATTAATATTATTTATTACGTAAAATTTAAAATAAAAAAATTAAAATATCTAAAATCTAAATCCTAACCCCAAATCAACCATCTAAATTCAAAATAAAAAGAAACTCAAAACCCCAATATTTCCCTCCACTAAAAACCGCTCCCACTCGTCAAATTTAAAATTATGTCCGTTCGAATTCATGATTTCTAAGAAAAATAATATTTTCTTTTATCACTGAGGGCACTTGAGAAGGTTCGGCCATTAAGTATTAGTACATATGATATAAAATAATATTTAATGAGTTCGAGAGAATTTATGTATGTAATTTCGTTTTTAATTAAGGTAAATAGATAAGGGTCAAGATAGGTGGTAGTAGATTAAATATGTAAAAGAAGAGGTAGGAGTAGGGATGTGCAAATCCGGATACCCGATTACCGAGTATCCGGAACATTTGGGTCGGTGATTTCTCGGTCCGAGTATCCGATACCCGAATTTTTTTCTTCAAATTATTAAATTTAAAAAAACACACAAATTAAAATGTTCGAAACTTCGAATTATACAGTCCAACATCCAAACACAAAATTTAAAAGTTCGAAATACAAAATTGATACTATGATAAAAATTATTTCAAATGTAAAATTTTTAAATCTAAACTAATCTAGTAAGAATACTTAGAATAAATACTGATAATATAAATATATGATAATAAAAACATGTTTAGTATAGTTACATGTATGAGATAAAGTGTCTAATACGTGTAGTGATTGTTGATATGTTTATTAAATTATGAACATGCCAGCTTTGTTAATTTAACTACTATGAATTGATTTAACTTGTCTTTTTCTCTATGTTACATGTAAATATTATAAATACTATATGATAAATTGATAATGTTATTATGTAATATTTGAACTAAATGATATGTTTTAATCATTTTTAATGTGAAAAGTTATAAGACTATAAGTTTTTTATAAATTAAATATATATAAAATTAAAAAAAATTAAAAACTTAATTGGGTACTCGGATACCCAGAAAAATCAATTTTTGTGACCCGGGCCCGAACCGGAAAGTATCGGGTCGGTACCCGACCCGGCCAAATAATTTTTTTTTAGAAAAATACCCGTTTTTTTAGATTCGGATCGGTGAGTCGGCGGATCGTGTCAACCGGGTCGAGTATTTTTGCACAGTAGGAGCATGGGACTTGGGGGCATCAACCAGTGTTAAAAAAGAAAAGGCAAGGTGAACCAAAAGATGATGGAAAAGCATACAATAAAAAGGAAAGGGTTAAAACATGTTTTATCCCCTGAAAATCCGCCCACATCTTGTCGGGAAAAAAATCAATGATAAAAGAATTGATAAAGGCTCAAGCTTGGCTAGTCTAAAGGAACCCTAGAGGTGTTGTTATTGCATAATTGGGGAGTTGGTTTGTCTAAACAGAGTATGCACAAGCATTTGGTGATGGCTAATGTAGGACTGACAGTAAATTTTTTAGTAATATGAGGTGATTATAAGATAATATATATTTATATTTTTTTTATCAATTGACAACGTATATATTGTAAATGTATATGCTCAAATTCAAGATATCTAGAAAAAATTACATTTTCTTTTACCATCAATACCACTTGATACATTCACAATGAGAGGTAGTCGAGCTTCAATTTCTTTCTCTCTTTTTATATCTTTATTTTAGATATTTTTTTGTCACTGTGATACTGATTTCTACACAGATTTTATAGTTGAAGTTTCATTGCAATAATTAAGGCTAATTAGGTGTAATGGCAAATTAATTAGGTCAAAATGTTGAAAAAAACCGTGGTGTATATCACACCAATTGCATAAGATTACATATGTCGCAAAATGGGTATGTTCTTCAGCAGCCTATGTTGAAATTACGCCTGGAAATACCTGATTTATTCATCATTACCTATAAAAATATTTCTCACCTACGAATCTATTAAATAACCTCAATGGTAAAAAAGAATGTTATTCTCTTTAAATGTCTTGGGTTTGAACAACTGTGTCTGTAGAGTGTGTGTGCATTGTAAATTAATTAAAAAAATTATAAACATATACTACTTAATAATCACCTCATAATATTAAAAAAAATATTACCTACATATTAATTTGGACTTTGTATATATATTAATATCAACATTTCCAAGAAAATACAATTAATTATTTTACCTTTGAATTCCCGTTTCCTTTTCTTTTAGTTATTGACTAAGTGCTTTTGAGGTCATATGTTGTAATGTTTTTGGTTGGTCATATTTCATCATACGCTTAAGGAAAGAAATACTCAATATATATGTAATGGAAGAAGCTGTTGAAAGGATTTCTGCCTTTTTAAGGAAGATTTTGGAAGTGTTTTTTTATCGGACAGTCGATCATGAATCTCTCAATTGGTTCGGTATTATATCCTTATGATGTTTATAATTAATTTTAGATTTTATTTATCGTATCCTTCATGACTTCGAAAATACCTTTTAACCATATATGTGTGTGTTTACATTGTAGATAATACTGTTGTTGGATTCTCTATTTATGCATGTCATTATCTTAAACCCCACCACTAATCTGCTTTTCATATTTTCAGTCTCTCATACTCTCCCCCTAAATCAAACAAATGAAAAAGGTGGAGAAAAGATAAAAGGGGAAAGGAAGAAAAGAAAAGGACTGTAATTTGTCCTAAAAGACAAACCAAACCAGCTGCTATATTTTTCAAGGCTCAAGGCCTTTCCCCACATAAAGATGAAGATGGATTTTAGGAGCTACCATGTTGAGGAATTCCAAGCTCCTACTTTCATTGAATGGCTCAAGCCATCTTCCTCTCCTAGTACTCCTCCTCCTTCATCACTATCATCTTCTTCTTCATCGTCTTCATCGTCGTTGAATGGTAAGCGAGTTCAATTTATGAACACGATGGCTATCTTGATACAAGATGATGAGCAGCATGGGAAGGAAACTGTTCAATGCCTGCCTCTTTTAAGCAGGATGACAGAGAACAAATCATTGAAAGAGAATATTGTTAAAGAAGAAAAGATGGAGAAAGTTGCAGTTTCTTTGCACATTGGGTTGCCTAACAGTAGTGCAACAGATCATGAAGATAATTGTAATCCAGTCGTTGAAAACAAGATTTTTAAGGAGGATGTAGAAGAAGAAGCCATCAAGAAAAGCTTCAGCTTCCATGGATGTTCTTTCAACAAAGAGAGTAGGTTTTGGATCCCAACACCAGCACAGATTCTCGTTGGCCCCATGCAGTTTGCTTGTTCCATATGTAGCAAGACTTTCAATAGGTACAATAACATGCAGGTCAGTCAAATTTTCATCTTTCCAGTTATTTAATCTTATGAACCAATAATAGAGATTTTTAAAGTGGTAGGAATTAATTAGATGAAATTGATTAGGAAGAACTAAAAGGAAAGGTGTGAGGGCCATGGGATTTTAATCTGAGCAGCTTCATTTTCACAGCTTTGGATTCTTGTTATTGAGTGAAATTTCCACTATTTAATCACTTTAATCATTCAACTTTTAATTAAAAGATATATCTTAATGTTCCTTGGTGTTGCCTTTTTTTATTAGTAATCATGTCTTATATATATTCTTAAACATCAAATTCCGAATTTATTTTCTAATTTACTTTTACTTTTGGTAATGAAGAGAATACAATTTAAGAATAGGTACAGAATGATTTTTTAAAAAAATATTAAGAGTATGAAGTTATTTGAAGGAAAAACAAGTGAAGGGAAAGATTATTGTTGGTACAGATGCATATGTGGGGGCATGGATCTGAATACAGGAAAGGGCCAGATTCACTTAAAGGAACACAACCAGCCGCAATGCTGAGGCTGCCATGCTATTGCTGTGCTCAAGGCTGCAAGAACAACATCAACCACCCACGAGCCAGGCCATTGAAAGACTTTAGGACACTTCAGACTCACTACAAAAGGAAACACGGAGCAAAGCCCTTCGTGTGTCGGAAATGCGGCAAGCCGTTTGCCGTCAAAGGCGATTGGAGAACCCACGAGAAGAACTGCGGCAAGCTCTGGTATTGCACCTGTGGCTCCGATTTCAAACACAAACGGTCCTTGAAAGATCACATTAGGTCTTTCGGAAAGGGCCATTCTCCTCACCCTTGGCTCGACAAGGAATGCACCACGGGCTCCGAAGATGAACTCACTCACTAGGCCGTTCCATTTCCAAATACACTTTAACTTGCGCACGTGTTTCTGAATTAGGTATCGCTTTCTTACATGCTTCGTGATCGGGAATAACAAGGAAAAGAAAAGGGTTACCTCGAGTGGTGAAGTAGATGAATTTTCTTCTCTTCCATGGAGATTTGAAACAAGTTTGGGTTATTTTTCTAAGGGAGAAAATTTATCAGCTTCATTGCTAACTGGTAATCTTTTACTAATAGGACGGGGATTTGTATTGTTTTCCAGACATTGAAAAATGATCTGATATGTCTTTACGTGTCTTGGCTACCAGCATCATCTTAATTATAATTCTCAATCAATCATGTTGTTTTTATGCTTTTAGTTCTAAAGTTTTGTATATATCGTTTCCATGTATAAGCATGCATGAGAAGCACTTGGTCCATATATTAAAGGTTTCCTGCATGAACACTTTCCAGTTAAATTAATTCATGAGTGGTTTGTTGATTTAAAAAAATAATAGCTAATGTATGGTAAAATGCGATATTATGATAGTTGTAAGTACTTCATTTCATCTGATTTGGATTAAGAATTATAATCAATAGATTTTGAGGAAAGTGATGAGTAGGAGATAATAAATTTAAAAGACCAAGAGAGAGGAGAGTTCAGATCATTCCCTCAGTCTTACAATGAGAATTTATATATCGACCCTTTGTACTAATGTTAGAACTAATGTCATCATGATTATGTGTATGCTGACAAAGTAAATAAATTGGTTCTGATAGATCTCCTAAGTTTGTCAATGATTTCATGGAGGAAATACGACTAGTCGTAAAATAGGAAGACTTCGTCTTATGAAATAGTTTTTCCAGAAATTTTAATAGACATAGAAGTTATTGTTTTATAGAAGAGCATTTCATAAGTATAACAATTAATGGTTTAATATTAATATGTTTTCTTAATCTCTTTTGAGTATTTGGTTGAAAGATAAAAAGGAGATTAAAAGAAAGTTTGGTTAAACATTTGATTACCTCAATTAACCCATATCATGGCACCAACCACGCGTATATAATGAAGTTCATGAATGCAATTTCTTTTAATTATGAAATAGATATATCAATGTAAAGATGACGTCAAAAATAATCTAGCCATGGTCATTGCTTACAAAATTTGGCATTCTTTTGTCAAACCTGGAGGTTTCACCAAATCATCCAACAAAAGATTCTCTCTCTCGATCAATTTTAAAAAATAATAAATAATTCAAAAGATTTAGAGATTTTGACTGAGGACTAAATGGGAGAAATTCTGAAATTTAATGAACACTTTTCAAATATTGAATTTTTAAAGAAAAAGAGGACTATTTTGAAAATTAGTTGAACTCCAGGGTTTTAAGATGCAATTTTTGTTTTCAAATTTGAGACTAATTCGCGCAGATTAAATGCCAGCGCCTCTACTAATTTTTATTTTTATTTTCCCCGGATTAAAATCCTAAGAAAAACCTAACTCGTTGCAAAGATTCTTTTACTTATGACTTAAGTCGCTTTTTCATTGATTAATGCGGGTTGATTAACGAGTTGAGTAGCTTAAACTCAACTGGGTTCAAAATTTGTTAAACGTTCGATTCGAGTTGGCTTGACTCAAATTCGACTCGAAACTTTAACGAGCTGAGTTGAACAAAGTCTAATTCGATTCGATAAGTTAAGGAGCAACTCGTTAATTTTTTAAAATATATTTTTAGTAATTACTTTAAAATTATTTCATTCAACAAATAAATCTAAATAATAATAATTAATTTATTAATAAAAATAATAATGAGTTAACTAATCTATTATTTTTTAATAAATAATAAAATATTATTAATTAATAATATTATTTTAATACAAAAAACCCTAATATCCACATACAATATTAGTAAATTTTATTTTTAGTTAAAAAAATAAGGTAAATTTTTTAGTGAGCTTAACGATCAACTAGTCGAGTAGAGCAACAATTTTTTTTAACAAGCACGAGTCGAACACATTTTTAACGAGCTTAACAAGAAACGAGTCGAGTCAAGCAGCAAAAATTTTTAACGAGTATGAGTCGAGCATTGTCCAACTCACAATCGACTCGAACAATAAGCACCCCTATTAATGCCCATGCAAATCCTTCCACCACCTATTTACGGATAAGATTTTGGAGGATCGTAAATTATTTATGTTTGATTCGATCAAAGTTCGGTCAATATTCAAATTTAAATGGACTCGATTCGAGTCATTAATGAGCCGAAACGAATTATTTGATATCCGACTAGAAAAACTCATGAACAACTCGAAATATTAATATATTAAAATTTTAATTTTAAAATTAAATTATTAACAATATTGACATTTATATGTAGTTTTTTTAATCAGTATAAGATTTTTATGTACTTAAGTTTCAGGTTCGAATTCGAGCTTCAATCGAGTTAAATATATTAATATTTCGAGTTCAAGTTTTTTTTTTGAGTTTAAGTGTAGCTTTAATTTTTGATTTCGAGTTCGAATCGAACTTCACAGTTTTACACTTACAAATTTTTAAATCGAATTGAATTCAACTTTAAATTTTTAGAATCGAGTTGAATTTAGTAATACTCAAAGTAATACTCAAATTTGATTAAATTTGTTTACTTCCTACGTACTCAAATTTTCTTGCTTTTTATAAGATTTTTCTAAACCTAAATGAGGTCAATTGACCCCAAAAAACTACACGTCAATCCGTCCTTGGTCCTAGGCTTGTAAACGAACCGAACGCACACGAACGGAGGTATATATTCATGTTCGTTCATTTAATAAATAAACGAACATGAACATAAATGAACAAATTTTTTTTGTTCATGTTTGTTCATTAAGGAATATAGCTTGTTCTTGTTCGTTTATTTAAATAATAAAAAACATAAACGAACACGAACGAACGAACATAAACGAACAACACAAACACACAGAAAAATTATTCAAACACAACAAACGAATGCAAAAAAAGTAAACAACAAGAATAACAACTTAAAATTCATTAATATAACATGCAACTTTAGAGTTAATTTGTTCAAATACGATAAAAACATACATAAATCATAAATAAGATATATGAACATAATAAAGTCTTAAAGTTAATTTGTTCAACAAAACAATCTTCTTGAAATCCAAACAACTTCAATAATCTTCGTAACATATTCAACTTGCCCTCTGTTCAAACATAAATGAACGAACATAAATGAAAGAACATAAACGAACATATAATCGAACGTTCACGAACGTAAATGAACGAACAAGCCCTTTGTTCATGTTCATTTATTTAATTAAACGAACGTAAAATCTTGTTTATGTTCGTTCATTTAATAAATAAACGAACATAAACGAATTTCCCGCCGCACGGTTCATGAACGGTTCGCTGAACGTTAAGTTCATTTACAGGCCTACTGGTCCCCAAGGATTTTAAAAACCAATATTGGCATTACTCTTGTTGCCTGCTCTTTGGTGCAGAATATGTATAACTTTTATGAATTCTATTACAAACCAGAAGGAAATGATTTCATGTAATGGAATATTCTTCAAAACCTTGATGCTTATTGCATTGATGCCTTTGGGTCAGAGCTCTCAAATTCGGCTTCATCCTTTGATTTGGCACTGTTGGAACCTCAAGATTGGTCATTTATCCGGCCGACTCATTGTATCATGTCAAGTCAATCTTAAAATATGGGCCTCGAATTTTACTTTTCCGTGTATGCCGCATCTCAACACCCCTGTTAAACTTCTGGGAGTTGAGAAACTTCCATTTGGGAGCTGTTTTGATGTCACTTTTGCTGAACATAAATTCTCCACCCAACATATGTTCTTGTTCTTTCAACATTATCCAATGGAATACTTCCAATAACCACACTTTTTTTTCTCTATACAGAAATCATCATGTAAGGTCCTACATGAAACATATCTGAAAGGAAAAATACAAGATCAAGCCGGCTACTTGTGACAATTCACTGAAATAGACTTTCATCAATTAATCAAATCATGCCGGCATTGAAACTCACCTTTTTTGTGTTTCTTCTGCTATAATAAGGTCATTTTGCTGGTCATGGTTCCTCACCGTTTCCAGCTTTAAGCTATTATTCTCTTGGTTTTTCATCACCATGAGACTTTCTCAACTTCCAACTCTTTTGTTGTTCATTAGTTTAAATCTGGTTCATGGGGACAGCAACAAAGCAAAGGTAAGGAAATAAAATCTGTTCATGTTGATTTGATTTAGGTGGATAATCTGATGGTGTTTCGTTGTGTTTTGTTCAATTTCGCAGCATTATATTGTTTACATGGGGGAACATTCTCATCCCAACTCGGAATTTGTTATCAAAGCTAACCATGAAATGCTTGCTTCAATTACTGGAAGGCATGCACTTAGCTAATTGCTTGTTGTTTTAGAAGTCTTAATTTATTCACTGATACTATGGGTAATTATCGTTAATGAAGTTTTGACATATAATTTTCAGTTTGGAAGGAGCAAAAGAAGCTGCACTTCACCATTACAGTAAAAGCTTTAGAGGCTTCTCAGCCATGCTTACACCAGAACAAGCACAAAGAGTTGCAGGTATTGTTTCGCAATTATAACTGTGTTTCATGCAGTTTAAATTCTTACCGATTGCACTTGCGTTGCAGAGAACGACGGGGTTGTTTCCGTGTTCAAAAGCAGGACAAATAAGTTCCATACAACACATACATGGGATTTTCTAGGAATAGACTCCATTCAACAATATAAGGATCATCCAATGGATTCATCATCCAATGTTATTGTTGGTGTCATCGATAGCGGTAATGCACTAATGCTTTGCAGGACTGCATCTGCTTGCTTTTGCTGTTTCTTGAAATTTTCCTTCATAACTTCTCCTTATTTAAAATGATTCTTCAGGAGTTTGGCCTGAATCGGAGAGCTTTAGCGATCAAGGATTGGGTCCTGTGCCTGAAAAGTTCAAGGGAGAATGTGAAACCGGAGAAGAGTTTGCATTGTCTAACTGCAACAGGTATGCTGACATTCCCAATGTGAACTCTCCTCTCGATACTTATCAGTTCATAGCGATTTCCCCCTTTTTATAATGATGTTTGACATCAACAATCAATAAGATTTATATGAAAGAGATTGGCATAGAATAATTGTGATTCCAATTATACATTGGTTCAAAATTTTCAGGAAAATTATTGGTGCAAGGTACTATTTCAAAGGGTTTGAAGCAGAATACGGGTCTCTCGAGTCACAAGGAGGGCCTTTCTTCCGTTCAGCTCGGGACAGCGATGGTCATGGAAGCCACACTGCCTCCACCATTGCTGGATCAGTTGTAGCAAATGTCAGCTTATTTGGCATGGCCAGGGGCACTGCAAGAGGTGGTGCACCTAGTGCCAGGCTTGCAATCTATAAAGCTTGCTGGTTTAATCTTTGCAGTGATGCTGATGTTCTTTTGGCTATGGATGATGCTATTAGCGACGGTGTCGATATCCTTTCTCTTTCCCTCGGCCCTGATCCTCCACAAAGTATATACTTTGAAGATGCAATCTCCATTGGAGCTTTCCATGCATTCCAAAAAGGAATTCTAGTCTCCTGCTCAGCTGGAAATTCGTTTTTTCCAGGCACTGCATCGAATGTTGCTCCTTGGATCCTCACAGTTGCTGCAAGTTCCGTAGACAGAATATTCAACTCAAATGTATATCTTGGTAATTCAAGAGTTTTGAAGGTAACATTCTGTAAACATTTTTGCTCTCAGGATCCCAACCTCAATCCCTTCTTCAACAGGAAAACCAAAAAGAGCTTGAAATGAACACAAAAAGTGAAGTAAAAAGAATCTGGAAACTGCATATGAGTTTGATATTTACCAGGATGTTTTTATGTTCTCAGGGTTTCTCTTTAAACCCTCTGAAAATGGATGCCTCATATGGTTTGGTAGCTGGGAGTGCAGCAGCTGCCAAAGGAGTGTCACCAATCAATGCTAGGTATGCCTAAAACTTCAACTCTGCAGGATTATTTATGTGGAACATGTTCATGATCATCCTATGCCTCAGAGTTGCATTTTCGATGTCCATTAATGTGTATAATCGCTCGAATTATGCCAAATATTCTTTCCAAATACTACGACGCAACGGTCTAAGATAAAGCTTGGAACAAGGCCCAGGATTATTCATAATGACGAATGGCTTCTCAAAACTCATACCACTCACTAACCAGATTCATTTTCTACTATTTTCCAGCTTTTGCAAGAACAATACTCTGGATGCTACTTTAATCAAGGGAAAGATTGTGGCGTGCACAACTGAGGCAGTAACAGATAAACGAAGAGAGAAAAGCATATTTATAAGACAAGGTGGCGGAGTTGGTATTATACTTATAGATCCATTAGCGAAAGACGTTGGGTTCCAGTTTGTGCTCCCAGGTACTCTAATTGGTCAAGAAGAAGCAGTGCTGCTACAAGAGTACATGAAAACGGAAAAGTGAGTGTATATTGAGAAGTAAATATGCAGTCTTACTGTTTCAGAACTAAGTAGTAGTAATAGTACTAACTACTTCTATTACTACAGGAATCCGGTAGCCAAAATATACCCGACGATAACGGTTTTAAACACTAGAGCTGCACCAGCAGTGGCTGGATTTTCTTCCATGGGACCAAATGTTATAACTCCAGAAATCATCAAAGTAACTACTACTGGATTTTCAATACTGTCCTGCACATGCCTTAATGTGACATAATCCCTTCTATTGTTTTAAACAAGTTTAACGTGCAAATTTTATGCAGCCAGATATTACGGGACCTGGACTGAACATTCTGGCAGCATGGTCTCCCGTAGCAATTGTAGACACCGCGGAACGCTCGGTCAACTATAACATTATCTCTGGAACCTCGATGTCTTGTCCTCATATTTCTGCGGTTGCTGCAATAATAAAATCAATCAAACCTTCATGGAGTCCGGCAGCCATAAAGTCCGCAATAATGACAACAGGTTAACAGTTTTATGCATTGAATAGTATCAGAATAGTTGGTTGATGGATGAAATACAGTAATTTTCTTGGTAATACTTTACATATAAGACTTCATTTCTTGCTGCTACAGCTACTGTCCTTGATAACACCAAACACCTCATTGGAAGACAACCATTTGGAAACGAGACCACACCATTCGACTACGGATCTGGACACGTAAATCCGACCGCGGCACTTGAACCTGGTCTGATTTATGACTATGATTCGACCGACCTCATCGGTTTTCTTTGCAGTATGGGTGCAAGCCCTGCACAAATGAAGAACCTCACTGGCCAACTAACCTATTGCCAAAAACCTCTTGTACCATCCTATGATTTAAACTACCCTTCAATTGGTGTGTCCAACATGAACGGAAGTTTATCTGTTCATCGAACAGTTACATATTACGGTAACGACGCCACGGTTTATCATGCATATATAGATCATCCAGTTGGTGTTAAAGTTAAAGTCACGCCTTCAAAGCTTTGCTTTACGAAGACTGGAGTGAAGATGTCTTTCAGGGTTGATTTGATGCCCTATGAGAAGAGCAACGGAAGCTTTGTGTTTGGGGCTTTGACATGGAGCAATGGCATTCACAAAGTCAGAAGTCCTATTGGTCTCAGTGTGCTCTCTGTTTAAAACAACAAACTGTTTACTGCATCTTTGAATTTGAGTTGATCTTTGTGTAGCCATCTGTTATCAATAATATTGTGCATGCCTTTGATCATGAAGGGTATAGCAGAAAACAAGTTATAATTTCTAAAAAAAATCTTATCCAACACATGTCAGTAATTCGAAAGGGACTTGATGCTTATCTTTGACTAATTGATAATTAAGACACTTTTTTTTATTAATCTGAGATAAATACAATGTAAGTAGTATCTGTTTAAAGATAACTCTCAACCTTTTGATATTGAACGCTTGTACCCTCAACATTCATGGTGCTCGAACCCGAAATCTCAAAGAATAACAATAATTAAGACACTAATATATGAATTAGATGATAGTTTTTTCACCTTGAGCTATCAATAGTGGTCCTAAAGATCTTGACACTTTTTTTTCTTTTTTTACAAAATTTGAATGCATTGAAAATAAAGTGCAAAGAGTAATGAATATGTATTATTTATTGATTTTTTAATTATAATTAAATGATATAATTATAACAATTAATAAATTAAGTATGATTGTTATAATAGACAAATAAAATAATATGATTGTAACTAAAAAGTTAACGTCTAATTCATTTACAATAGTAAAATGATATGTTTGTAACAATCGATTAATTAAATAAATTGTTTGTAGCTTTTAAAATATAGTAATCTATTTATAATCTTATTAATAATAAAGTGATTTGTAATATAATTTATATTTTTTTTTTCAAATGACGCAAACGCAAACCCATTGATTTGCTTTTATTTGGCACATGTTATTCCTTATACTTGAAAAAGTTCACGTTTAATTAATGAATAACTAGACGTCTATACATATTAATATCTCATTTAGTCCCATGCCCAACTTGTTTTATTATACTAGCATTTCATTGTATTGTATATAAACCATTATAATTATAAAAATTTAAAAAATAAAAACCGTGATAATAGTGTTGGTTATCATTTAATCCTTTTATTTCTAAAATTAATATTTAATTTATCTGTAATATTAATAATAAATTAATTCAAAAAATCTATTATGATGTAAATATAAAATTATACACTATCACACTCAATATATTATATAAGGGTGAGTAAACTCGGGTTAGCTCGAAAAATTAAATTTTTTTCAACTCGACTTAAAAAAATTTGAATCAAATTGACTTTGAGTCGTAATTTAACAAACGTGCATAGACTCAAAAAACTTTCAAATTCGATTCAAGTTATAAAATAGAACTCAAATAACTCAATTTTTTTAGTAATTAGTGGTTTGATTTTCAAGTTTGAGTTGAGTCCCTTGACTCTTATCACATATGAATATATATATATATATGGTTATAGAAAATCATTTAAATTGAAATTAAATAGTATCATAATATTATAAATATTTACAATTAAATTTAAACAAAAACTCAAACAATACTTGAGTTTTATAAACTCAAATCGAAAAAATTTCAAATAAAATTTGAATTATAAAATAGAACTTATTAACTCGAATAACTCAAAATCTTTTAACCCGACTCGATCGAACACTTACCCCTAATATCATATTACATTATTAATTCAACACACTAATTGCCAAACTCTACATTGTCGGCGAAATTTGCAAAAAAAAAAAAAAAATGTACAAAAGAAGTTGGCTAAAGTTCTGGCCAACCTTCTCAGTTTCTCTAACATTTTAATATTTTTTCTCATAAAAAATAAAATAAAATTTAATTAATTAATTTAGTGGGAAAGTACACAAACCTCATTAAGTTTTATATAAATATACACTATATTTGTTTTCAATGGATATCTTCTCATTTCATTATGTTAATCTATTTTCATTCATTCAATGTTCTTAAATCTGATAAAATCTAATAAACTTTACCATATATATATATATATATATATATATATATAAAAGTGAGGTTAGAATCTATTGTTAGGTTTAAATTTATTTTGATAAATGGAGGAAACTAACCTATAACATCAACAAAACCAGCTTATAAATATGAATAGCGTTATTATGAGTTATGGCAAAGGGAGATTAACATACTTTCTTGGCAACCTTAACTGTGCCCTTATGTGGTAAGAAGTTTTTTTATTATTATTATTTTCCGAATTTCTTCCTTTAATAGACAAAAATAATGAAGGGTACATTATGCAAATGACCACTTAACTATGAGGTTGGTGTCGATATGATCATCATACTCTTAATTTTGGTAATATGACCACATAACTATTTAAGTGGTTTTAATGTAGCCACTTGTTACAAAACAAACTTCATAGCTGATGAGAATCTCCATCAGTCAATAACAGCCAAATCAGCTACACCATTTGTTTTGTAACGGTGGGTGACGACATTGAACTCACTTAAATAGTTATGTGGTCATGTTGCTAAAATTGAAAGTATGGTGATCATATCGACACAAACATCATAGTTACATGGTCATTTGAGTAGTTTACCCATAACTAAAATTGGAAATGGAAAATATGAATTAGAATTTCAAAACTACATATGCAGATACCAGTAGATATGGTGGCGAATGCCATGGTTGTGGCTATGGAAGCTCATTATGCAAATCATCGAAATTCTCATGGCAACATTTACCATGTCAGTTCTTCGTACAGAAATCCTATGAAATTGTCAGATCTTCGAAAGTTTATACGTTGTTATTTCACTAAAAACCCATGGATTGATACAAATGGGAAGATAGTAAAAGTTGGTAATGGAACAGTGATTAGCAGAGCTTATGTACGTGCTCCCACTCAAGGTCTGTCATTCTTATATCAACTTATTCCTTTTGTCACACTATAGTTTTTAACTTCCATCTTCATTTCTTCATGTTTCTAATCTGAATGTTCAGGTGCTCTATTTGATGAATATACTTAGTGGTCAATTTTTCAAGAAAGTTTACACAAAACATGAACGTAAAGCCAAGTCCGTAATGCGATTAGCAGAACGTTACAAACCTTATGTGTTCTTCACAGGAATGTAAGCACGTGTTTTGAAGTTGTATTAATTATTGGGTAAATTAAACATTTAGTATCCTGTCGTTTATGTTGCAGAAGACGACTATCGGATGGAGCAAAATCGCAACTGATAATTTGAGAAAATAAAAATGAAGATAAAAGAGACACAAAATTTACGTGGAAAACCCCTAAATAATATAGGGTAAAAACTACGGACAACGGTAGAAAAATTTCACTATAAGAAAATGGAATTACAACTTCTCTCGATCTACCAAGGAAAAACAATGATAATTCTCTCTTGATAAATAGGAGAAAACAACTCTAGAGAAACTCTCTAAATTCTCTATAGTATTGAAAGAAAGCTAGAATGCTTTGGGATGGTTTTGAAGCTAAATGAGCTAGGGTATTTATAGTTGAAGCTTAAGGACTAATCTTGCAAATACCCTAAAATTACAATGACTAAAATTGCAATTGTACCTTGCTAATTTTCAACCATTTTAGCTGCCGAATTTGAACCAAAATAGCAACCATGAATTTCCAAATTTGACCAAAGCAGCAGCCGTGATCTTTGAATTGATTTTCAACGGTTTAAAATTTAATGGTGATGCAAAAACAGATTTGATTGCAGAAATTTAGAGAAGCTGCAAAAGATGGCTGAAGAAAGAGGGATAAATATGGCTGAATTTGGATTCGATTCCAAAAGTATTGACTGGGAGGATTATATAATGAAGTATGTAATTAGGTCTCGCCTAGCATCATCCGAGTAGGGTTCATATTTCGATTGACTTTTCTTCAATAAAAAGATTAAGGGGCTGTTTGTTTGGCTCTGAATGGAATCATTCAACGTTGAATGTTGAACCGTTTAGCATTCAGACTGTTTGTTTCTCACCTCTGAATGATTCAGTGCTGACTGATTCAACAAAACAATGCTGAATGATTCAGCACAAAAGTACATTCTGAATGATTCAGAGCCATTATCAAACAGCATGTCACATTCAGAGCTAATTCATACAGAGCCTCTGAATCATTCAGCGCTTAATCATTCTGAAATAAACAAACAACCCCTAAATGTTTCTTTTACTTTAGCTTGAGTTTGGTTCCCCTGATCTAATCAAGTGTTTGTATTTGAATGCTTCCTATTGTTAGTTTTGTGTTCTTTGATTACTAATCTGATTTTTTGTTCACTTTATCTGATTTGTGTGTTCGATTTAGATATTATTATTAAATTTCAACGATTATATTGATTATCGAAGAGACTCGAAAGATAATTATAAATTCAGTTGAAAGAGATGTATAATATTAATAAAACGACATAAAACGCTTGATCAAAACTTAATGAATTTATAAACATGGATACCCAAGTTCACAATTATTGTAATTATTAAAAGTGTTTTAAGAAAGTGAATCTACTAATTTATTGTTTCATTTCAAAATACGAATAAAACTTGTTCTCAACGTAATCATGTATGAAAAATATTGATAATAGTGTAAATTCTTAAAAAAATAAGTTAAAACAAATCGGTCACTCACTGTTAACCCAGTAACATTAGGCTGATATAACATGTTAAGTTAAATTATTTGGTACTAATAGACCGTTGACTCATTTAATTAAAAAATATCATTTTAAAAAACTTGTTCATCAATTCAGAAACCTCTTTCGAGAAATTCTCTTTAAATGATAACATTTAAAGGTGGAAGCAAAGAGAACATTTACAATCCTTCTTCCAACGATGGGAGGGAGGATTATGGTGTTTGAAAGTGGAAGCAAAATGAACATCGGTTCTACTTGAAGCCTTAACTTGTCATTTTCTTTAAGCTGATTCTTAAACTTATTCTTAATACCCATATTTCTTAAGTTGAATTTGAGAAAATTCAGATTTGGATTTGATTAAAAGGAAGAAGTAAACTAGTAAAAAAATCTCTCATTTTCTTTTGTTTTTTTCAATGATATTTTTTGAATTCAATGAGTCAAGGGTCAGTTAATCAGTGCCAAATAAGTTAATTTAACATGTCACATCAACCTTCCATTAATGAATTAACAACGAGCGATAGATTTATTATAAA